CACCCGGGTCCCTCCCTTGGGTTCCGGGCAGCGGTGCCCTAAGAGTCAGTCTGCCCTCCCTCCCTCCAGACTGCTCGGAGCCCCGGTGGTTGGCTTTGGTGACCCTCTCGGCGGACGGCTCCTTGGGACTTATGTTGCACGGAAGGGGACGAGTCCCCACCTCCGTGGAACACACACCTTAGCGCGGGAGATGGGGTGAAAGGAGCCAGCAGGAACGGGATCTCGAGAAGCCGGGAAAGTGCCCAACCCTGCAGGCAAGCCCTGGGCCATAGCCAAGCTCCCGAGTGACTGTTTTAGGGAGGCCAGGTCACCCTAGAAACCAGCCACAACCCCCGGGGCGAATGGGCTGCAGCGGAAAACTGGATTCGCGTAGGGGAGGGATCTGAATAGGGGCAGAGAGGAAGGGCTTGATAAAGATACAGCAGGCAGGAAGACAGATGTTGGCTCTCTAGAGTGTGGTGGGAGGGGAGCCGGATGTGAGAGGTTGGGCCTCTGGCAGCTGGCCCAGCATGGGTTGGAAGGCATCTTCTGGAGAGGGGCAGAAAACAAATAAATTGAGGAGCTCCTGGTAAAACCCTGGGGTAAGGGCAAGGGGAAGAACAGCCTTGGGTCAGGAAGCTTGGGTCAACCTCACCCCATGTTAAGGCCAAATGCCCATCAATGTCAGAGGCTTGGTACACACACCATGCCCTGGCTTCTCAGCGGCCCATGGCCCTAGTCAGGAATTTCAGCAAAAATGAGACTACTTCCAGACAAAAGTAGATCACTAGCCCGTCCTCCATATGCAGAATCCCTTTGCTCACTCGCTGAGTCCAGCCTAAACCAGCTGAAGGGCCAGTGTCTCGGCTGGACAGCAGGAAAGCCTCTGTACCTGAGAAAGGAGGAGGTCTGACCCACCCAGCTCAGGGTACCCAGCCTCCTCAGGGCCACCCCAAGAAAGGAAGAGTGAAGCCAGGGATTTAGCTCAGTGGTGCCACCGCCTGCCTCCCAAGCACAAATTCAATCCCAGCCACAAAAAAAAAGTGCTTACTGAACTCGAGGCAGGGAGGGCTTAGATACCCATTCTTTGCTCTGCTGCTTGCATTATTCCCAGTCGCAGGGCAGTGCCTGGCACCCCGAAAGGCCCTCAATAATGTACCTAACCACTCCCTCACATTCACACCACACTCTGTTCCCTGGCCTTTGGGCACTCTACAGCCAAGATGGTCTACCTGTGGGAGTTTGCATGTACCTAGCAGTGTCATTGTTGACCTACACATGGCACATGGTTTTTTTTTTTTTTAAAGACAGGGTCTCACTGTGTAGTTGAGACTGACCTGAAACTCACTGTGTAGCCCAGGCTGGTTTTAGCCTCCCGAGTGCTGGGATTTCAGACATGAGCCACCATCACACCCTGCTGTTTTTGTTTCTTGATACAGGGTCTCACTATGTAGTTCAGGCTGACCTTGAACTCTTTGGAACCCAGGCTGGACTCACATTCGCAGCAATCCTCCTGCTTCACCTTCCGGAGGGCTGGGATCACAGGTGTGCACCCTCACACCCTGACCCCAGGCCACTTTTATAACACCAGCCTTTAAGTTCATCCACACTTTTTGGGGGGAGAGGGTACTGGAGATTGAGCCCACCATTCTTGTCAGCATCCCAGTGAGCAAGGTAACAGATCGTGCCCTTCTTATGTGCAGTTTAAAACAGCCTGACCCTGTCTTAAGAGATGCAGGGAGGGGAGGGGTTAAGAGAATTGAGGTATATGGTTGTACCAATTCCCCACAAGTAATGTGATAATAATGTACTGTGAACTGTACTAATAAAAAATTAAAATTGGGGGGAAAAGGGGATTCCTGGGTGGACACAGGAGTGACCCACTGAGTGTCCACACACTGGGTGCCTTTGTCAGCTCAGTCTGCAACAAAGGTTTGTGGGCCCTGCACTGCCTTGATCCTCTCCCAGCCTGTTTCTTGCCTGAAAGATGAGGGATTCGTTCAGTCTCAGCAGGGCTTCTGGCCTTCACCCCACCCCTGACCCCCTTCCCTAGTGAGGGCAGGCAAGAATGGAAAGCCATTTCTGGGTCTCAGCCTAGGGGTTCTCTGAGCTCTTTCCCAGGAACTGAAGGTGAGGTGAGAGGGATCTGCCCAGGGGCTGTCAGCCTCAGGGCTCTGAGCTTTGTCCAGAAATTTGCTAACCCCTTTATGTGGCTGAGAGGCTGAGGAGGAAGGCAGGGACAGCAACAATGGGGCCAGTGGCGGGAAACAGTCCTTAGAGACCCTATTGTGCACCCAGCCTGCCGGAAACAGACAACGAGCAGGATCCTGCAATGGAGACCCCACACCCTGCAGGCTCCTTGCTATGTCTGGATGCTTAGCACGTTGCAGGGACCTCTGGACAGAGGGGCCCTTTCTTCCCCAAGGGTGGGACCAGGCCAAGGATGACTGTGGTGCACAGCAACCACAGAGAGAATTGGCATCCTGCCAGCTCCCTCTCTCACAGGCCCAATCCACAGCCAAGAGTGGTATCTGCTGGCCTGCCCTCCCAGTCCACCTAAGGGACCACAACCACTTCAGGCATTAGGAACTGGCACTTTTTCCACTCCTGCTCTGAGTCCCAGAAGCACCCTGGTATAGAGGCACACAGGAGCTTGTCAATAAGCCAGGGGTCACCAGTAAGGAGAGGTGGGCAGGGGAAGCAGAGGGAAGATTAAATAACATGAGGCAGGTCCAGGGCTGGGCTTGTCACAGGAGACCAGTTCTACAGTGGCTGGTATAATCAATGTTATTATCACCTCAGAACCACTGGGCATCTTGATGCCATCTGGAGGCCACTGTCTCCCCACCTACCCTCCCACCAATCCCTCTCCAGCACCTCGCCCCAGAGGAAGGCTCAGTCTAGCGCCACCTCACAGGGATTGAGGTGGGCAGCATGGGCAGCTGCATAAGCACGTCTGAACTCCTGGAAGCGGGGAGCACAGCCCAGCCAGGCCTCACCAAAACGGCTCCAGCCCATGAAGAGGAAGGTGCCTGGGCCAGGGCGGACACCACAGCGCAGCAGTGTTCGAATGGATGCCTGCCTCTGGCTCTCGGAGACCCCCACCAGGAACAGGGGCAGTGTCTGACGGAGGACACGGGAGGCCGCCACGGTGATGACAGATTCTTGCAGCTCTGTGTCATGAGCAACCCGGTAGATGGTCCCATGGATCACTATGGGGAAATATGTTGGCCAGTGCTGAGCATTCTGGGGTAAGGGGTAGGCTCCAGTCTCCTGCCACAATAAGGACACTCACCAAAATCACTAGTGCATGCAGCCAGGAGAAACTCAGCATCACTGCAAGGCCTGCAGGCACCTGACAAGCAGAGGATGGGATGTGTGTCCAGGCCCTATGGTCCCCTGTTACCACCCAACCCAGCAGGAGATGGGGCAGGGGCGAGCTGGTGCCCAGACTTCTCAGCAGGTGTACTCACAACACTGAAGGCATTTGGACTGAGGTAGTGTGTGGCAGGCATAAGCCTCCAAGATGCAACTGTAGATGCTTAGGGGCCACAGCACCTGCCCACCTGTAGCTCTAGCACCCTGCACACTTTCATCCCTTCTCACCTACTTTGAGCTCCTAGAGTCAACTCCTGAGGTCCAAAGAGCAGCAGTGCCACTAGGGCAGCCACAGGTTATGAGGTCTCTGGCTCCTTGGGTCCCTGGCCTAAGCTGAAGGGACAGAACATTGAAAATGCCATTCCCTGCAGGGTCAGGCTGCAGGCTCCAGGAGCCCGGGCCCGATGCCCTGCAGGGAGGTAAGGCAGTGTCTCCATGGTGACTGGGCAGCACACTGGACTTTTGTTGGCTGGGCTGGGGGAGGGGCACGAGGTCACTGCCAGGCCAGGGAGCTCTGGACAGCTCTGTCTTCGGCTGAGATTCTGCCCCTACAGCCCCTCCCCCAGCCCTTCAGGGACCAGAGGCCAGAAGTTGCTCTGCCCATCCTCTCCTGTACTCACCCAGCCTGCTCCTCCCTAAAATTAATCCTGAGCAGGAAGGAGGGAAGGCAGGGCCTCCCCACGCTCTCCCACCTGCCCATGGGGTTGGGACCCCCTGTGCCTTGGGATGACAGGTCCTATTCTGGCCAGGCCTAGGTAGGAGTTACTCTGACTTCCACCTGTCCCCACCCCGGTGGTCACTCACCATTCACGCCAAGGCCAGAGGCCTGGGGCAGCAGCTCTGGACGACCATCCTCGTGCACCTCGAAGCGGAAGGCAGCCACGCGACGGCTGATGTC